GCTGCTGAGACCGCTGTGCTGAGAGGCCAGGACACTGAGGGTCTGGAGGCAAAACAGGTATTAGAAGCAGAAACCCAGACATAAAGAAGGCCATGGTCTGGGGCTCTTTTCCCAGGGACATGAAAATATAAGAAGTGCTCTGTCTTCCGGGAGCTTTCATCTAATTAGGGAGCTGGGATACATATCTACGTGTGTATATATATTCAAGAATAAACCTCAAGCTTTTATGATAATTCTTGTTGTATGATTTTTGTTCTCACTTCTTGGGTAAAGGGAATGGAAAGAAATTGAGAAAAAAATAAAATAAAAATAAAATGGAACAAAAGAGGGGTTTTGCCAGGACCATTGGTGATAATGTGCCATGAAATAAGGAAAGTGCTTAACTCTTGACTCCTGAGGCTCAGCCCCAGAGAAGTAACTCCTTCAACCCACAGATACTAAAAAAATAATAACCAATTTCTCTATGAGACCTTATAATTTTTAAAACTATTACTTTTTTGGTATGTGTACTCTCTAGCCTCCAAGAAGGCCTCCACTGATTACTGCCTCCTGCTATTCACACGCTTATTTATTCCTTTCCTCATAGTGAATAGGGCTGACCTGCAATACAATGGGATATTACAGAAACGACGCGGTGTACCACCAAGGCTGGGTCACAAAAGACATTTTTGTGTATGCCCTGCTCTCTTGGATCACTTGCTGTAGGGGAAGCCAGCTGCCATGTTGTGAGGCCACTCAAGCAGCTCTGTGGAGAGGGTGACACAATGAGGAACTAAGGCCTCCCATCACTGGCTCCAAGGACTTGCCAGGGACCCATTTTGGAATCCAATCCTGGTCCCTTATAGGGACCAGCTTATAGGTGACTTAGTCTTCTGCCCACAGTTGTACGGTGACCTCATGAGATGCTGACTCAGAGAAACCATTCCTAGAATTCCTGACCCACAGAAACTCTTGGAGGGCAAATAAGTGATTACTATTGTACTTTAAGTTGTTCTATGCAGCAATAGATTAAATGAATCCTTTTAAAGTCAGTGCTTGAATTCTTCCCTTAGAACTGCCTCACTAGGAGTTGTTAGGGAATAAAAGCATTGTCTGCTTTGGACTGATTCATGGATTCTCATTATCACCTCCTTTCCTCCTCAACAGGAAAAGTGCTAGAAGCAATAATTTAAGTCAAAATAAGTAACATCTGGTTCAGGTAAAATCAAGTCCTGTAAAAATCGGTTCTTATAAAATCAAACATTGGCACTGCAGTCAACCTCAGAAGCATCTTTAAACGGATGAATTAGTCTCACGAAAACATACTTTTCTTTATATGCAGACTTCTGAAAAATCTCCTGACTTTGAAACCTTTTTATGTTTCTAGCTTTTTTGTTTTTCAGGAATATTTAGAGTATACATAGTCAACAGATGAGTTTAAATCAATGAAATGATTTTTCCTTTCCTGACCTTTAGTAAGGACTTAAAAATTTCCCACAGTGGCGTGTGTGTATGTGTGTGTGTGTGTGTGTGTGTGTGTGTGTGTGTG